CCTATAATCGTGCTCTGAATTGGTCTGACTCATTTTTCCTATAAGCAGAAGTCTTCCATATTAGTTAAAAAACTTAGAGTTTGGATAGTTTGATTGATAAAACTTCTGTGAACGTCCCCATTTCCATTGTCGTATCCTTATCACTCTCGCAAACAGGCTGGAGATGAAAAAACGCCTTTTCGTGGATGTTTTCTACTTCCTATCCGAAAAGTGCTGCTTTCTATTAGTCGTTAAATGCGGTAACAGCCTAATCATGAAAATATAAATCCTTGAAAGTTCCTTAGAAAACGACGTGTAAATTTGGGGAAAATTAGTCCGAACGAACTGTTGTCATTCAGTATGAAATTTCTTCTGTTTATCTGAACAGATAATCAGTATTATACACATTTAAGTTCGCTTTTTACACTTTCTGCTAATATTTAAAGTTGAAATATGTCTACCAAAGAGCACACGGAGGATTGCGCTATAGCAGTACTTTCCCAGTAGCATCAATCAGAACAAGAAATAAACGGATCACGTGCTTGGGCCTTTAGACGGGTTTGTTAAAACTATATATAAATCAATCAGTCAGTGACAGTCCTAGTGACAACCTCAGGTAGGCCTCATCAAGCGTTGACAGGAAACATAAACAATAATATGCACTAGTCAAATGTTTTGGGTCATCATAATGTCCCCCTTCATCATTTTCAGATACCTTCGAATAAAGCCCTTTTTAAGTGAAAGGTGCATTAATTGCCATCTGACAGCTATGGGTATTCAGTGCCTGGATCGTTTGAACAATCTTCGTGTAAGACGTTACAAGAAACACATAATAAAAAATGTTTAAACATGTCTAGTTACGTAGAGCATAGATATTACTGAATATTTTACTGTAGAGCATACGTAAATGAACTTTTAAACATAGATTGTAGTTCGTGTCACAGCGAATTTTCGTCAGTAAGTTGGTTCTTTTACATTTATATTGGCATTCTGTATTTATTAGCAAATCGAAATACCCGTTTCCTCGCAATATGAATGCCTGTTGCTACGATAACTTCGTTTTTACAGAGACAGTGGAATTGCTTCAGGAGATCACCCCAGCGCTAGAATGTAAATATTCTTAAGACAGAGAAGTGGACTAGGTAGAATGCTAAATATAGTTCAAACAAGAGAATAATTTCAGAGATTAGTAATTGCATGACGTGGAGTTAAGTGACCAGGACATTATATTTTAGATCGGATCCGAAATTTCGATAAACATTTAAGTTATTGTAGCAAAAACAAGCAGCAAAAACATTGGCCGAGCACGTGTCTGGACCTTTAGCTGGTACCAATTCCGGGAGTATGGTATAAAATTTTTGCCATATAGTTGAAGCAGCCAGCTAATGTCTTTAGAAGTCTCTCGCACCAGCCACTACAAAGAGAGAATTAAAAAAACTCGTAAAAACCCCGATCACCTCTTCAGTGAGGTGCAGATAAGGTACTTTTAAAAGCTGTCTTAACGGAATGCCTAATGTGACTGCAGACAGATCAAGGTGAAAAACTGAATCTTAAAAAAGATACCAGGATATCCTTGCCAGTCTGCTGGCCATTTGAGTCCCACGCTGGACACAGTTGTTGTTGGCTTGATTTTAGCCTACTTGTGTACGGACGCACATCCAATGGCTTTCTAAAATTATGGCAGCAGGTGAGAAAACAAATTTCGCTTATAATATACGGAATACTGTAAGACAGCGCGACTTCTCTGAGTCTGAGAGGGTTACTGTAGCTGCGAATGAGTTTACAGTTTAGAAAGATTGAGTTAAAAATTGAAAATACTCGAAATGATTAATGGTTATTGAAAAGTTAGAATACCAAACATATCTGAAGTCTCACTCTCCGGTTTGCCTAGCTACGGATAAAACAGCACAAGACTGTAAATATCTTTGCACCGCACCGCACAACAAATCAAACCAAATGGAATGCATGGTCACCGTTACCGACGTATTTTCATTGCATACTTTGCTTATGCGGTGACGGCCCTCAACAGTCACACTCAAAAGACAAGATAAAATTTCAGTCCATTAGCAATAAAAAGTATATTTGGCACGAAAATGGTTGCCGATGCAATAAACTCCCTAAGTAAACTGACCTCTGAATTATGCACAAGTGCACTAACATTTCCTGTTAACCCGGAAAACCGTATAGGTGAATTAACAAAAGGAACCATTTATAAATGAATGGTTTTGACTTCGAATAAAACTCAAGGCAGGTAATGAAAGAATTTTAGGTATAAAATAACCATTTTTTAAGAAATATGAGAATATAAAAGCAAAAATGGTGACACATTAATTCATTTAAATGAAATTTGCACCTACTGCACGTGTGTGCCGAGTTCACTAATCGGCATACTCACATCAGTAGTAAAACAACTTCAATATCACTGAGCTGTATTTTTATTTTGAAGACTAGTGTTATGACAATATCGTAGATTGTCAATTGGTCAATAGCTGGTAAAGGTTTACAAAGTGACTTGAACAAATTTCAGTTTCCTTTTTGGTTTTTTATTAGTAGCGATGGGATTGAATAGGATAAAGTTAAATTCGTTGAACGTCCGAAGTCGGACTGTCTCTGAAATAAGAAGCTGTGTACATTCGCTTGAAGAATGTGTTAACCAATGACAACGAAATTTCAGCGTAGTAAGCAGGTGCAGCCGTGAGTGCGCCATTTTATACGTAGAAGAGAAGTCTTTGTTGGCTTTCTCGCATCAATGTATTCTGCTGAGTTGCATGGCATCTCTGAAATAAAGGCAAACACTTTCGGTACTCGGTGTTGGCCATTGTCTGGTCAAAACAACTGCCTTTGTTGTTTTTTAATTATGGAAAACTCTAAAAAGGGCAACGCACGGGCGTCTTTGTCTATGTATCGAGTTTTTTGGTGTAATTTTTGTGTGAATGGCGGTCTGAGTCGCACTTTTTTACTCACCTAGACAGTACATAGATTTGTTGCCGAAAATGGATGTCTAAAACGATGGACTTCTTTAAAAAAGCTTGGCAGGTTGTGTCCTCTTTGACTAGCAAAATGTTTGACAGTTGTGAAAATGGTTGGCGACGGTTGGTTAGAACTCAGAGCAGCCAGTACAGTGTTATAGTACATACAACGCGCGGATGCTGAAGCGTAACGAGTAGAGAATGGCGCATTTCGATGTTTTACACGCTGTGCTTCACAGCATGATGCTTCAGGGACAATAAATTACGCATTGATTAGTTCTAGGTGCTAGTAGACGTGCATTACGTCTACCGCACTCATTCCTCCTTCACCAGCCTGAGCCCGGCGTCAAGAAAGCGTCAAGAATACCGGAGGCCGGATAGAGCGGAGGCGGCCGAAGCCATTGGGTCTGACTCAGATCCCCCGGCGTGGGAGTTGCATAAGGGCCATAGGTGGCTGCTGCCTGAGTCTGCGCCTACGTGTACCGCCGACA